CAACAGCAGAGGACGTAAAGACGAGAGTTAGAGCGGACCGGCTCCTCGGTGACAACACAGGAAACACTCGGGTTTGTCTGATAGGAAGAAGTCAATGAATCACAAGTTTAAACCCTGAACCTCAGCGACAGCAGCACGGGCTGCACGTCACGTCGGTCCGACCCGTCCAGGATTTATAACTGAGACACAGGTCTGAGAAGAATTCATTTAAATGGGATGACAGAGATCAGTGGGTCCAGTGTCAGCGCTCAAGTCCATTTTACAGATCGAATCCTCTGCCCAATGAAAACCACTGACTTTGACAGGAAGTTGTGAGACGGCACCTCTGGAAGAAATTACCGTCACGTAAATGTAGTGGTTGTTGTCGTGTAGAATTCATTCATGTTTCTTCTTTAAGGTCAAAGTTTGGCACATTACCTGAGAAACACCAGGTTTCTTTAGACCTTGATGATTCATGTTCCTGACTTTCAGAACCGCCGTCTACCAGGACCCTAGTTTTCTGTGACACTGGCACCGACCCAGAAACACAATTGGTTCTTAACAAGTGCGTAGAACATCACTAACTAACTCTAACCCACCAACTCACCAGGTGACGCTGTAGCAAACAAACTAGGGTCCTAGAAATGTGGTCCTGAAAGCCCTGAACCTGCAGGTCTGTAGAAACATGTTGGGTTCTCCATCTTCACCCACCGCAGTCTGACTCAGCCAATAAGATCAGCCCCTCCTCCAAAAATCTTCTTTATCAATACCTCTCTCTCAGAACACCGGGATCCAGATCCAGGACCTAGACTTGATAGGGAATTTTACATTATAACAGTGTTTGATGTTGTAATATTGACATCAGGGTAAAGGGGGGCGGCGGCTCCTCTTTGATGTGTAATAAAGGAAAATCCTTTCAGTCGTTGGTGCTGCAGCAGGATGGATGGATGGAGAATATGGAGGAAAGAAAGGTGCGTTTGTGATGAAGCAGATCAAATAACTGTTTTTCCATCTGTAAGTTTCTACAACAACAACAACAACAACAGAAACTCATTTACTGTAGAATACGGACAGAAACGCCCCAGGAGAGGTGAAGACGGCGGGAACTCACCGTCATCTCCGAACCAGACGGGCAATAAGACAAACCTACGACTTCTCCGGAGGGTTTTCTCTGCTTTTCCCAAAATAAGACGGTTTGTTTTCATACTGAAATGTCAGAGATGAATGAACACCGAGCCCAGTTTCCCAAGAGTGTATTTTTATCTCCGTCCCATCGCTCTTACACACAGTGGACAAATAAACATCCACGCTGAGAGTTTCAATCATGTACTACAATGACCTGACTGCTGTAATAAACCACAATTATCCCTTAAAGCCATTTAATGATCATTTACTTAAAGCTTATCCGTCATTATAATCCAAACACAAAGCTCCCTGATACTCAGCATCTTCCTGCCAGTTTCCATTAGAGTCATAATGACATTCCTTTGGAAAACAACTCAGTCTGCACCAGTGTAAAGAATCCAGACTGTTTTATCCTGAAGGTGGCGCTACAGTCAGAGCATCAACACAGTTATCACAATTCATCCTCAGGGGAACATGAATGTGTGGGTCAAGCTACACAGCAATCCATCCAACAGCTGTTGAAACGGTTCACTGAAAACCGCTGATGTCAACCTCATGGTGGCGCCAGAGGAAATGTCAGAGGATCACCAGAGTGACTCAGATTCATCATCTGGGGACCATGAATGTCTTTATCAGGGTAGGATAATGTCTCTGAAGCTAGCTTGACTTCCTGTTGTTATATCTAGAGTTGCTGTCATTGTCGTGGGCGTGTCTTGTTGATAAAGACAGGAGCTTGTCAAGCGGACTGGGGAGCAGCATTTATTTGGACGTTAGCGATCTGAGGATAATCCTGGGATCCTTGATGGTGGGCTAGCTGTAGCTAGCTACAGACAAGTGAGCTTGTCACTGTAAATAAAGATGGACGTAGCCTCTGTGACATCACCCACAAGAGCGGTGTTGAAGCTCAGAGTGAGCTGCTCTACCGTCGCCATCTTGGCAGTTTCTGACTCCGCCCCTAACTCCCAGCTAATCCAAAAATGGTCAAAGAGGAGGGGTGGTCATATAAACGTCAATAACAGTGACGGCTTGGTTAGGTTTGAGGAGAAGATGGTGAGTTGGTTTAAAATAAGTACTTCCTCAATAATCTCTGTCGTCATGGTTACAAAATAAACTGCTGGTTTCACATGGGAATCGAACACACCGCTCTCCTGTGTCACATTCATCCATCCACCACCACCTCTTTTGTCTCTCTTTATACCAAGTCACTTTGTCCCTTAGTCCCTTTGTTCCTGTCATCGTTACCACGACCACTAGATGTCGCCTAGCAACAAAACCTAACTATGATGTCAGTCGACCTGTGGGCTCGGTCTGAAGAGGAGATTATCCTCACTCAGGTTATGCTGCTTGTTTCACCTCCTGGTGTTTCTCTACCTGAGGTTCAGATTTCTCTTCATCACATGAGTTATTACTCGTATCTAAATCCAAACACAAAACTAACCTTTCACCCCCCCCACCCCCACCCCCCGGCGTTTACGGACCACAGAGCTTCAAGTACTCGTATGAAAGAGAGTTTCAACACATTCAAGATTTAATCCGCGGGATGAAAGGTTGGAGAAAGGAGGCTGATCTGAGAAGAGAAGCAGAGGACTGACAGACTTTAGTTCATGTCACTACAACACCTGGAGCAGTTCAGACAAGCCTGAACCTCCACCACCGCTGACAGACCTGAGCGGCGACAGCAGGATTACCTGTCAGAACACAACGTCAGGTTTTGTTGTTCGACCTCGACATTCTTAAAGAGATTAGCAGGAAAGATGGACGGACATCTGTCCCACGGTACTGCTCCGTCCCTCTGAGGACACACACCAGCTCCCGGAAACTCAAAAGCTCTTGTTGCTCTCAGTCGACATGTGACTGGAGCTGAACCTCCGAGAGCGGAGAAGCAGCGTGATGGATGGAGCGAAAGATCTGCGTTACTCCAGCAAACACGCACTGTTTGTTGACTTTGGATCTGTGTTTATTTGGGATTTCATCAGTTTCCACTCTGGATGTCTAAGAGGCAGAATATCAGAGGGAGGGAGGGCTGACATCACAGCCTGTGTGGTGGAAAACGGCTTTCCTCTCTGTGTTTAAATGGTTACTCTCACAACAACAGCACTGTTTGCATGTTGCCATATTACATTATGAATCTGAAATGTGCCCACATCATTGTTTGTTCAGGGAGCGAAGAAAAACAAAAGTTAAAGAGGACGAGGAAATGTTTCCAGACCAAAGTCACAGAGGAGTTTGGAGGTTTAAGATGGATTTATACGACTTCATTAAACCTGTGAGGAGTGCAGAGGGGACAGAGGCTGCGTCCACATGACGACCTCCGTCCACGCAACGTTCGCTGCTAGCAAAGACAACAAGGTCATAGCGCTGAATAGTTACTCATGTTGTTTATTCGGAGCAGAAGAGAGCCAATCAGGAGACACCGTGGGTGTCTACGTCATCGTTTCTGAAAGTCTCCATTCCTGTCCATCCAGACTACAACACAACCCCAGAGTTTTCAAAATAAAAAACAACCCCAGAGTTTTCAAAATAAAACACAACCCCAGAGTTTTCAAAATAAAAAACAACCCCAGAGTTTTCAAACAAAAACGGCTCCAGCAGAGTTTCTGAAAGTCTCAGTCTCCGTGCACACTACTACTGTTCACTTTTAAAAGTCATCTTTCTTGCTACGTTTACTTCTGAGTTTTCCAGCCTCTACAGTTGAGACTTTCAGAAACTGCTGGACCCGTTTTACAAACACAAACACAAACAGAATAATGTTACACGTTCCCTGGATGGAGCTCAGCATCAGTCAATGACAGAACGTAATAATAATCAAAGCGCAGCACAGCCCGGTCACCGGTCTGAAGCTGCATCTGGACATGAAAGGTGTCACCAGCCGGACTCCCCTGAGGCGACTGCGACTGAGGCCTCAGCTCTTCAAACAGCTGTGACTCTGTCGACTCATCTGGGCCATTCAAACTATTTATAGCAGAAAGAACAGGAGAGAACAAGGAGGGAAAAAAAAGAAGGGAAACAGTTTGAACGCTGAAAAACGAAGGGGAGTGGAGGACGGGAGGAACAAGAAAGAGAGAAGAGAGCGTCTTGTTCAGTCTTTACCCATGGTGCACCAGTAGACGCTGCAGCGGATAAGGCAGGAGGCCATTAAGAGCTAATGACCTCTGGCCGTTTATCTCCACCCGCCCGCCTGTTTTGCTGTAAGCGCCTGACACTCAGAGCCGCAGGTCGTTCTCCAAACCACAAATATTCTGCGGAAAGTCTTCAAAGCCGAAGACTCGACAGACGAGCAGGAGAAAAGACGGACGAGCGTTCGGCTGTGAACGTCTCGGAGAGAAGCTTCTGCATGTTTTAGTCTCATTAACTGTAATTATTTCACATTCCTGCAGACAGCTCTCCACATCATACATCGCTCCTGACGAGCTTCCCGCCACACGAATCATCGAGTGGGACTGGGAACTTGCAGAAAACAAATCTATCACAATGGCGATGCATTCAAGGACACCGCGATATCAGATAATTGATAACAAGTATAGCAGCACAACATTTAGTTTTGATTTAATAAGTAACACCTGGACCAGGTACAAACAGTGTTTTAGTAATGTGGCCAGAACCTGATGTAATGTACGGAAGCCCTGAAGGGAAGAGAGAAAAATCTCTGACCTCTCAGGGCTTCCGTACTCATGTGAGTTGGATCAACAAAAGAGCCACGACTCATCTAATGAAAAAAACCAAAACGCTGATATTTTATGACCCCAGAAAATTGTGTTAATATTTGAACCAAGATCCCAGAAACATCAGGAGCAACTGGACTTTAATAATTTTATCAAGAATAAATATGATTTCATGTAGTGAATCACCCTCCTGCTGTTTGTAAAGACTGGCGATCAGCTGATCGTCGGACTCACCAGTCTCTGCAGGATCCTCTTGCTCTTGTCGTCGGTGCAGTAGTCGGACATGATGCTCCTGTGGACCAGGACCAGGCCGTTCAGGAACAACCAGGAGCCGAACCAGAGCAGAGCGAACACCAGGGTCCCGCGACGCGACCACAGCCGGAGGCCGAGCCACCGGAGCAGGCACAGCCGGCCGCCGCGACCCCCTCCGCCCGACACCAGTCCTCCAGGAAGCATGGCGGCTGTGAGGTCGCGAAATCCTCCTCTGCCAAGAAGTGTCTGAGGTTCTTCTGAATAGCTGCTGAACACTCTGCTAAAAAGTGGTTCAACTAGAGACCCCAGACTCCAAAACACCAGATCCTGGACAAAATACTAAATGTGACGGTTTTAGTTCGACAGTTAGAAAATGTTCCGCTCACACACAACTGAATTTGTTTTAACAGATAATAAATTCCATCGTCAGCGTATCTTGCAACACCAGATAGAAACCAAGCTTTCAATGGGCAGTTGTGCCTTCAAATCTCCCATGATCCTTTGCAGAAATTCAGAATCACTGCTGTAATCCGAGATCTGTGTCATTCAGACCTTTTTCTTTGTTCCTGTCCTTGAAATCCCGACGGCTCCTCGTCCTCAAAAACTCAGACTAGCTTAATACAGAAGAAGAAGAGTGCAGTTCATAATCATCCAATCAGAGCGGCATGTTCCTGAGGCCGAGAGTCGACTGGTCTGACCTCCATCTTGGCTCCGCAGCGTTTCCATGAGAAATATCTGAGGTTTCGTTGTTTCATGCCGAGACTGGTTGATTTATTTCCTCACAGCGAGTCAGCAAATGTTGAGCAACAGGAAATAACTGAGGAGCAGCCGAGTCACCATCCCACTGTGTGATGTGGGTGTCCGGGCGTCTGCAGGGCAGTGTGGCATCTGGACACACACACACACACACACACACACACTCACATGCCGTGAAACATGAGAATACACACAACCTCACACACAAACAGTGGTTTTCTCTAAAAGTCTGTAGGTCCTGTGAAAATACACTCTCATGCCCTTTAACACACACACACACACACACACACACAGACTGTGTCCTCACGTCACCTCCTCGCGGCGTCTAGTTTCCGTCTCTTCTGTGGAGCTCAGAGGGAAACTTCCCTGAAAATCATTTGCAGAGATCCACCTTCAAAACATGTGACGGAGGAAATATCCCTCAGACGGAGAGCTGTGCGGAGCTGCAGCTTCTTAATGAGCGTCTTAAAAGGAAAATAGATCCAGAAAAACTTTCCTTGATGTCGGAAAATAGAAAAATAGAGTTGGTTTCAGCCGAGGACTTTTCACTGCTCCGGTTCCTGAACCGGGTTTGAGATCTGTGTGAAGAGAGAAACAGAGTCGCTGCTTCAGACCTGGACTTTTTCAAACAATTAAAAACTCTTTTTATTTTGGGGTGAAAATCTTTTCACAGCAACTCAAGCTTTGACATTTTGAAACTGTGTATTTTTACAACTGTGAGATTCTCAGCTTGTCAACAGAAAGACTAAAACTATTAAAACCTTCTTCTCTTTTTCCCAAAGTTCATGCAGGGTTCAGGAGAGGAGAGCCTCTGACAGCTGTCTGGCTTCTTTGTTGAGAAAGCTAATTATCTCTTTGTTTCTCAGGGTCAGAGTTTCTCAGAGTCGTGTAGATTTTAAACAGAGATCTTGTCAGTCACAGTTTTATCAGTTTCCTCCAACAGACTCGTCTCAGTCGTCTGTGTCTGGCTGCAGCATTCACAAACTCATCCCATCATTTAGCCTTTATTACAGTTTCCTCGTGTGGTTGCGGTTCCAATCACTGAAGCGTCCAAACCATGAACTGAGGAACAGAAACAAACCGCAACCAGCACCGTGGAGAACACAGATACTTGCCAGAAGTCGTTGGACCTCGCCGCTGTCGTCCGGATCAAAGACTCCCCAGAGATCCAGATGAAGGAATCCAACTCCCCAAATCCTAAAGGAAGGAGAAGCAGGAGGTGGTCAGTCATCACCGGCTTCTTAAAATATCAGTGTTTGTTTCTTGCTGATGGGAACGTGGGTGGCAAAGAGCCGACAGCTGCTGCAGCTGTTTTCCAAAGTGCTCCCCCGAGATCGCTGCAGATATCAGCTGTTATTTGTATGATGTGATGTGTTTGGTGCTCGCGGTCCACACCTGGACACATGAGCACATCTGCACTTTGTCTCTTTCCTGAGAAGAGAACTCGTTCTGTTTGTTAGTTTTTATCATCACTGATGCAAAAGGAGCAAATCACTACAAACTCTGGTGCAGAAAGTCAAATAGAAGCTGATGGCGCTCGCTCAGATGTGACAGGTGCCGAACAAACCCTCCAGATCTCACACCACCGTGAAGTGGCTCCTGCAGTCTGCTCCTCAGTGTCACCTTTTACTTTCTCACAGATCTACAGTCCTCGAGTCCTCGAGTCCTCGAGTCCCGGAGTCGCAGCTTAGAGCCGCTGTGCATCTCTGAAATGTGAAGAGAGGCTGTGAGCTCCACAGTTAACTCCTCGCAGGCTCAGAGGACGAGCGAGCGGATACTTCTCTTAGTGAGAGTCTCATGAGACGCTGGAGAGAGCAAAGGGTTAAAATACTGTTTTCACTTCAGGGGAAAAAGCAGAGGTTTGGTAATGCAGACTGCTACAGGTCTGACGGTGGTCTGTTCAAGTCCTCCATCGTCTGAAGCAGCTGAGGGAAAATCTAAAGATACTTTACAAACCTTTACATACATTCTTGATTTGCCCCTGATGAAGGAATGAGTGTGACACATTCTTACCTTGAGTCCATGAGTCTGTGTCTCTCAGATCCTAAAATCCAAACGTCTTCCTTTGGAAAATGAAACCGTATGAAACAGAAGTTCCTCGCTCCTCGGACTCGAACTTTAACTTCTCCCTGTGTGAGTGTGAAATAATAAATGTTTGTTCTGCTCTGAATCCAGGATTAACTCAGACTTCTGACTCCACAGATGCAGCTGAGACAATTCGACTTGAGACGATGATTAACTCCAAAACCAGGATTTAACCCTTCAAGAGTTCCTGAGCTGCACTGAAGGTCTTTCAGCAGGTGATGAACAAAAACTCCAGCACCAGGATTCAGGTCTGCAGGTGAGACTGGACCCTGTTTGTAATCCTGCTGCCTGTGAGTCCAGATCTCTAAACCTCAGACCTGTAAGATGATGAATGTTTGTGATCCTCCGGCGTGTGGCTCCTTCAGGTGCCAGGAATAAGTTCGTCAGCGGGTCTGAAGTCCAGGTGACTGAACTTCTCCAGGTGTGACGGTTAAATCTCCAAACTGAGCGATCATGTCGTCTGCAGGTCTGGTCTCAGTGAGAGCAGCTGGAGCAGCAGGTCTCGCTCCACAGAGATGCTCCTGGAGATAAAGTGAGACACCGACCTGTAAACCCTGAGTCCGGACTGTCAGGCGGCAGACGCCTGCTGTTTCAGCGGCTCTGCTTCCTCCTCACACTCCTGCTGCTGCCTCGCTCTCCCTCTGTCTGACGCTCCTCACTGCCTGGAAGAGAGAGAGAGAGGGTGTGTGTGTGTGTGTGTGTGTGTGTGTGTGTGTGTGTCGCGCTCAGGCTGCTCTGTTCAGCCCCATTCCTCTTCCTTCCTCCCTTCAGTCTGCTGCACTCCCGGCTTTTTCCTTTCTCTTTCCTTTCTTACCCACAGTGTGTGTGTGTGTGTGTGTGTGTGTGTGTGAGTGTGTGTGTGTGTGTGTGTGAGTGTGTGTGAGTGTGAGTGTGAGTGTGTGTGTGTGTGTGTGTGTGTGAGTGTGAGTGTGAGTTCCTCAGGGGAGAACAGAGGCGGTCCTCTGGCGTCCCATCCCTCTTCAAGACTGTGTGAGACCCCCCCCTCCCCTCCTGTTCACTCTCTCCTCCACCACCTCTCTTTATATTACATGCTCCGCTGTATCCTTGCTCCCTCCCTTTCCCTCCTCTCTCGCTCATCTCCCCCCTCTTTTACCCCTAGTACCACTCGGCAGCGCAAGTCTCTGCTAAGGTTCAGCTCCCCACATGCGGCTTCACTGAGCCCGTCGCCAATATTAAAAAGCTCTCCCCTCATTTATCTCACTTTTCCTTCATTATTCCTTGTTCCTCACCGTCTACCCTGTCTTGACCCCCCCCCCCCCCACCACACACACACCACAGGCACACCCACACACACTCACCCTTTTCCCCTCTACTCGGGCACAACGCTCCAATAAAAGCAGCTCAGAGCCCAAGGCATGTCGGTAATTTGCCCTATTGTAAAAAAACGCAATAAAGTCCTGCAAACACATAACAGAGGAGGCAGCTACTGAGGAGGCTTGCTGCATTGTGGAAGGCTGGTGTCTTGCAGGAGGGAAACGGGTTTTACAACTGCACTGTGTGTGTGTGTGTGTGTGTGTGGTGTGTGTGTGTGTGTGTGTGGTGTGTGTGTGATGTTTAGCGTCTGAGGGGAGACACACACCACACTGATGCATTCATGGTTGATGCTTGATACATTAAATCTGCTGCAGTTAAAACTAGTGGCCACTTAGAGTGGCAAAGAAGAAATCTCAAAATCATTTCATGTTTCATCCAATTAGCTTAAGTTAACATGTTATAAAACATTTATATAAGCCTGTTATAAACAATGTAACGTAGAAGGGACAACAGTGACCTGTTTCCTGCCAATAGTGATGCCCTCATGTTCTGAACTGGTTCAGCCTCATGTGTCTTTGTTTTCTCCAGCATCGAGCATCTAGATAGCTGCTGCATTCATCACGTTTGATAAGTTTACTGACTATTTAACGACTGTCAGACATCATAACGTCAAACTAAGTTCTCTCTGACGCACTGAATGCGTTCCTGTTGCTACGAACAGTGAACGATGGATCAACCCCAGTCCTGTCGGTGCAGAGGGAGCAAGAGGAGAGTCGTGTCTAGCATGTGGAAGATTTCAATCTTTCCAAAAGTCGAGTAGAAGAATCTACAAGATCTGTATGAGGAACTTTAGTCAGCTGTTTCATGGTTTCCTTTTTCTAGTGATGAACCTGCTTTGTCTGTGTAGCTGTCTTTCATGAGAGGAGTCACTCCCATCCTCCCCCGAGAACTAAAATCAGCCAAGAACTGAAATCGAACTAGTTGGTGCACAAAAGGAAGATTCAGTCAGAGGACGATCCAGGGAGATGATGACAGAGGAAACACATGAATGAAACTTGAACGTGTTACACCCTCTGTAGAAACAAGAAGTGATTCAAATTGTTGAACCGTTGGTCGATATAGAAAAATCAAGGTCACTAATAGGAACAGCTGACTCAATAGTTTGAACAGGAAGGGAATTTACACTTCTATTCCAGGAGCTTCAGATACACTGAACAAATCGTTTAAACTGGATCTTAAAGAAGTTTCACACGTTACAGAAGGCAGCTCGGTCCATAAAGAAACCCCGAGGACAAACCAGGAGTCCAGGGTCAGAGGCTGGGAATCAGACTCTCAGAGATCCCAGCAGCCGCCTCGCGCTCGTCCCACAGGGCACGGCTCTCTCTGTCCTGTAATTACTCAATTTAAACCATCGGTGGTGCGGAGCTCTTCTCCTCGGTCAGAGCGACGGGGCTCTCTTCGTAACCCATCCACTTCATCTGAGGCCGCCGTGTTACAGCCCAATCCATTTATCACAGCCTCCTCGTTTAGCTGCAGCCCAATTACTCGAGGTCCCGACTTGTTAGGGGCAGCTGCTGTCTCCAGTTCCTGAATCGACTGAAACTCAGCAGTGAAGAAGCTGCTACCTTTCAGCAAAAAAACATTTGCACCTTCAATTTTCCTCCAGTTTAATCTGAGGTGAATTTGGTTTTGCTCAGAAAAAACCAGGAGGACGTGGAAATTATTGCACTGGAATAACATGCATGCATTTACAAACACACAC